GTGCGTGTGTGTGTGTGTGGGTTGGGGGACAACATACATTTGTGTACAGAAACACACACGAGCCGCACAAAAACCCACATGCACCGCCTTTGTCATACATTCCAGAGGGAGATTTAGCGTGTCATATCCTGTCTCAGCTGTTGGAAGCTGTCCTAATAAGGGAGCCCATTACTCTTTCATTGTGCTGCTCTCATCCGTCTCTCACACCAATGTTTTTTTTCTTCCCAGCCGAACACTTCAATCCTGGAAAGAGAGAGCCGTTACTTTCTCTGACCCAATCGGGACATCCGACCACAAACCGACCAAGTGCTTCTTTAGTGGATAATGCTCACAGATTGAAAGATGGTTTGAGATAATCTCAAGTGGCTGTATGGAACCTGTGTGGAAAGCATTCACACTCCATTTGACAAAAAGAAAACAGGTAAGGAAATGTGGCAGCTAGCTTCGAAGAAATGCTTGTTGTGTCACGAAGTGTGCCCATTGCTGCCGCCGGGATTTACATTAGGGACCGAGGTTTCAACTTGGCAACAGAGCACTGACACCACACATCAGATAAGTCAACGTACCGCAGTCTGGGTTGTTCTTTGTGGCTCTGTCCAAACGTCAACACTTTTCTGAGAGCATAGAGGAAGGCGGTCTCTTGTGCCTCCGTGCAACAGACAGACGGACCCACACAACCTCTACAGCTATGCAAGTCCCACCGCTAACATTCTTGTGGCAGGGAGCAGTTGCTTGTGAGAGAGTTTAAAATGGCTTTAGCCACTTAAAGCCCGGGCATTAGTCATTAATCTATTGTAAGGCCATTAGCAGAAACTCTAAATCGTATCTGCTAATGGGATAGCCCTGGAATTACACTGCTAAGCCACTTACCATCCTGAGCCAACACACTCACAGCCAGTTTGTTGGTCTATCACCGAGGGCCCATTGAGTATTGTGACTGCAGCGTATTCCCTCATTTTCATATGCCATCATTGCTATTTCAGCAACTTAGTCACTGGTGGCTGTGGCAGACTGTGCATTCTGTTCCACTTTATACACACACACACACACACACACACACACACACACACACAGAGCTGAGGTGAAGCTATGGTA